AACTCCAGCTCCAGGGGGTCAGCTGCCCGAGGGCACCTGCACTCATGTGCACACACACACACACACACACACACACACACACACACACACACGAGAGAGAGAGAGAGAGAGAGAGAGAGAGAGAGAGAGAGAGAGAGAGAGAGAGAGAGAGAGCTTAAAACTGAAATATTTAGGGGCTGGAGAGATGGCTCAGAGGTTAAGAGCACTGACTGCTCCTCCAGAGGTCCTGAGTTCAATTCCCAGCAACCACATGGTGGCTCACAACCATCTGTAACAAGATCTGGTGCCTTCTTCTGGCCTGCAATCATACATGCTGTATACATAATAAATAAATAAATCTTTAAAAAAAAAAAAAAACTGAAATATTTAAAATGATAATAAAATTAAAACCTGTGGAGATTGCTCAGCAGTTGTTGCTAAAATTCCTTCTCTGGGGAAGACACGAACAACATTCATTCAACAACAAACCAGGGACGATTCTGTCAAAGTTCACTTGGAGGGACCAGTGGGTTTATTGGCTTCCTTGTAGAGTGTAGGTGAAGGGTTACTGACGGGAGCGTGGGTGTTCCTCCCTCTAAGCAGCCATATGAAGTCCCTCTCTTTTAGTCTCCCCTGGTCTATGTATTAGCCTCTCCCTGAGGCCTCAGGTAATTAAGGCATCATGGCATCAGGTGCTAGGGAGGTGCTACTCGGATGAGGGTCTCATGACCTTCCCTGACCCTCTGTGGATGTAAATGGTCAGTAAGTCCAGTTGGGATATTTTTGCAAAGTGGGGACACAGCTGAATTCCTAAAACAGTAGTTGTTTGGCTTGGAGGACAGTCACAACAGTTAATAGTACACACTGCTCTTCCAGAGGACCCCAGTTCCATATCAGGCCACTCACTCCACAGGAACCCAATATACTCTTTTTGCTTCTGCAGGAACTACATACATGTGTGTACACACACAAAGAAACACACAAACACGCTGGGCGGCGGTGGCGCATGCCTTTAATCCCAGCACTCGGGAGGCAGAGCCAGGAGGATCTCTATGAGTTCAAGGCCAGCCTGGTCTACAGAGTGAGTTCCAGGACAACCTGGGCTACACAGTGAAACCCTGTCTCGAAAAACCTAAATAAATAAACATACAAAAATAAAAAGAATAAAATGAAAACACTGCATGTTTGCCTATGTACCACATGCACATCTAGTGCCCAAGGAAGCCAGAGGGTGTTAGATCTCCAGAACTCTAGTTACAAATCATTGTGAGCTGCCATGTGGGTGCTGGGAACTGAACCTGAGTCCTCTGCAAAAGCAGCCTGTGCTCTTAACCACTGATCTCTGTCTCTCCAACTCCAACAAAACAAATCTTAAAAAAAAAAAAAATTAAGACCTTATTGGTAACACTGGTTGAAGTGCTGGTACATGCCTGTAATCCCAAAGCATGGGGCCTGAGGCAGGAGGATCTGGAGTTCAAGGCTCCTGTGGGCTATGGAGAGATACTGTGCTGGCTAATTTTTTTTTTTTTAATGTGCATTGGTGTTTTGCCTGCATGTGTGACTGTGAAGGTGTCAGATCCCCTGGAGCTGGAGTTACAGCAGTAAGCTGCCCTGCCTCCAGGTTCCTGCCTTGCTTGAGTTCCTGTCCTGACTTGGATGATGGCATGTTGGGGAAGTGTAAGCCAAAAAAACCCAAGTTGCTTTTGGTGATGGTGTTTCATCACAGCAATGGAAACCTTAACTAAGACAGATACCTTGTTTCAAATGAAACAAAATTAAACTAGAAAAGTAACAGATCTAGGCTTGGGAGCCTGAAGGCTCAGAGTCTGGGAGGTTAAAACCCAAGGCTTGATTTTTTTTTTCTTGAGGTCACTCTAGGCTACATAGTGAATACCAGGCCATCCTGGGCTACACACATAGCAAGATCTGGTTTCAAAAACAAAACACTAAAACTATAATAAAATCTTTATTGATAAATAATTCCAGGAAGACCGGAGCTTCAGAAACTGAGGACCCTGGTGGCCCTACACTCTCCCTGAATTAGCTGGCAAGGACAGCTCCCCCGACACTCCAGGACTTAACCTCACACCCTCTGTGTTGACATAAATTTTCACCTAAAATCCCATGTAAACCTAACTCAAAGGGCCAGATGGGTTATACGTTCTCAGACATGGGTTCTTATTGAAGACTCACCAGATACCACCACATGGAGAGCAGTGATCCCTGGGTGGTGTAGTGTCTATGTGACTCATTTACTTTTTTTGTTTTTGTTTTTTGAGACAATGTTTCTCTGTGTAACAGCTCTGGCTGTACTGGAACTCTGCCTGGTGGTCAGGGGAGACATTTTAAAATTAAAAAAAACTAAATTAAAGCTTGGTGGTGATGCTGCACGCCTTTCATCCTGTACTCAGGAGGCAGAGGCAGGCAGATCTCTGAGTTCATGGCCAGCCTGGTCTACAGAGCAAGTTCCAGGACAGCCAGGGCTACACAGAGAAACCCTGTCTCAAAACAAACAAGTAAATCTTAAAACAAAAGAGGGCTGGAGTACACTTGGGGGTAGACTGAGTTTACCATTTGTAAGGCTGTAAGTTCCATTCCCAGCACCAGGAAAGAGAGAGAGAGCAAGGAGAGCAAGTGAGAGAGAGACTGAGAGAGACACACTGCTCTACCACCTGACCCAGGAAGCCACAAACCCCAACAGCAAATGCTCCAAAGTGACTAGAGTCAATCATAACTTCAGCCTCCTCGTTGTTTCCACTTATAACTCCAGACCAATCAGAAGCAAGAGTGACCTAATCACTGGCACCCGGGGCTGGGTGGGGGGGACACTCCTGCCACCCCAGAGAGTCTGTACCAAAGACAAAACATGTCCAGCCACTTGCCGTGGAGGGCCGAAGATGGGCATGTATTTCCATTAGTGCTGTTTCTATCTGCTGTCTTTCAGCTTTAGTGTGCGTGTGTTTGCCACGTGTGTGCCGGGACCTGAGAGCAGAAGGTATCGGGGCCCTGGAACTGGAGTCACAGGCAGTTTTGAGCCCTCTGACATGGAAACTCTGGACCTCTTAACCAGTGAGCCATCTCTCCAGCCCCATATCTGACATCTTGCCTGTGGGTCTATGATCTGCTGATTAAGTGTGTGTGGTGTGAGGTAAGCAGCCAACTTCACCCCTGAATATATGGGCAACTTTCATGGCACCATTTATTGATGAGCTTTTGCGTGTGTGTAAGGGTGAACTTGCCCATGTGTGCATGTTTAGAGGTCAGAGGTCGATGTTCAGTGTCTTCCTCTCTCCACCTTTTAGAGAGAGTGTCTCACTAGGACCTACCTGGAGCTTGCCAGTTCAATGGGATTGGCTTTATGCACCCTGCCCTGCTGGGCCTGTTGCCAGGCCTAACCCCACCAAACCAGACTGGGTACTTTCTCGCCTCCAGGGAGGCTTTGCTGGGCAGGGCTGAAAGGCGATTAGGTGTCATCGGCTTCCCCAGTGGCCAAGGTCCCAGGGATGGATAAGACCTACTCTGAGCTCCATTATCTGAAGAGCTTGAAGAGTCAGTGGTTTCTGGTTTAGGCAAGATTTTGGCTGGGGTCTGGAGAAACAGCCCTTCTGGGGAACCACAGGAGTGGGCTTCTAAGCTAGAGTCCTACCCATCTGTGACCCTGACCTCACACTGAACGCCAGCCGGACTCCAAGGCAGGATGCTTACTAACAATGCTGTGGCCAACAGGTGGGACCCCAACCTAGTTTTCTCCACTGGTTTTGGGGTTGGACTTTATGGCACCACTTATAACACCCACCCCAAGTCAGGACC